AATATAAATTAACTGGAAAAGTTTGCGTATTAACGGAGTTAGAGGCCAAGTCCTCAGTGCTTTTAGCAGTTGGATGACAGAAGTAGCCATCTTCAATGCATAAACCTTCCTCCTCGAGAGTGATAAATTTCTGGAAGTTATTAGTACAAGTAACATCTCTAAAACGTGTATGTGAAAATAGTTTGCTTACTTTATATTTCCTAACTTCTGTTGGCAAAATTTGCAAAGAATCGAATCAGCTGCAGTAAAGTTACTCATAACTTTACTTAATTTAGTTATGTTGTCACAGGCCTGACTGCTATACGATGCATTAAATCTGCACGACAAAGTTCTGTCATTAACTTGACAAAGATTTTTGCATGTCATGCACGATATATTCAATCCATTTAATGTTACTTGATGAGTTTTATTGGCATTCTGAATCTCAATAGTATCCGAGTACACATTAATGTGACACGATCTGAAAACATAAGTATTAACGTAGAATAACCCAAACCCTGTCTCTTTGATGCGACAATATGTAACATCAAGACTTTTGCTATTATCAACGGCTTCCGCAAATAGCATTAAAGCTGAACAATGCAATCTCCTGTTTTTCAACACTAATTTAAATTTTAGGCGAGTAGCTGTAATATGAACAAGAGTTTAGATTGATTCGGTTTAGCTTCGAAAGTTCACTCAAATAATTAAGAAATCTATGAGGGAAAACGATACAAAAATCGTTATATGTCAATCTAGAAGTGTCGAAATTTACAAAGGTAAATCAAGATATACTGCACAAAGCAGAAGTAAAAAAGTAGCGCAAAAAGTGTCACGATAACCCTTATACGCTGCCCAACTAAAAACCCATATGGCTTCAATGAGCGCGGTGTTGTTACCCTCCGAACTAATAGCGGAAAGTTCAAATGGTTGTGAACGTAATAGAAGCTTTCGCTTAACGGGCTTACGTGTCCAGTAGCAACCCAAGCTCCTAAGTTTGGGGAAATTCCGGAAAATTTTTGGGGAATCCCTAAAGTGAAATGGCCTTGCCCAAAGTTTGGGGTAATTTTAGGGACCACCAATACCTCCAGGAACGAACAACTGATGCCACATCTATGTTAGATAACCAATATCTTTGTCGCCAGCTTGTGTAAACCGGTTGATTTTCTTGTGCTTGCTTCTCGCTGTTCCATTACGGTTTCAGGTATTTAATAATGTTCACTGGTTGGTAGCCTAGCCACTCGACTGAACAAATTCTAGCCAGTTTGTTAGTTATTTGTGGATTTACATTTAAGTATGTGCATCTGTCTCAGAGTAGTAGGGCTTTTGAAAACCAGAAGCTGACACATCAACAGGTATGAGGTTGGTTAGTTTAAACGTGTAAACAACAAAGAGATAATCTTAGTGCTACGAGAACACGATTGACTCAAGAATAAATATATAATTCATTTAATTGGAAATTTGTAAAAGGAATTAATCGAACGAATAAGGGATGAAATTGAGATGAAAACAGGAAAGATAGGAAGTAGTTGATGATACATAGTACTGATAACAATGGTAAATTATGAGATATGCATCAGAGACATTTGATTCAGGAGGTAGATTGTGATCCATGGATAAGTACCTGTTTATTAAACCTCCTCATAAGGCTATTCACCAAGTTGGCTGCGGTCGCATAGGCCGAGAAAGGATTCCAAAGGGGGCAATCCGTAATGAGAAAAAATGAGAGTGTACATAGATGGCCACTCTTTAATGTGTAATCCTTCAAAGGTTGCCTTATGGTCATTTGTCATTAGTGACAGTGTATCCCATGATAGTGGTGCGTGTGAATTAGTTAGGTTCCGCCTGAAATGCAAGGGAAAAGAGCTGCTGATTGGTTTGGTTTACCTCAGTTCAAGGTGTGAGGTGAATGAGGTCTTGCTAAACAGTCTCAGTACTTGGTCACAAAGTGCTCGATGTCTAATCCTAGGAGACTTCATTGCACCCACGGTGAGTTGGAAAAATCCGAGAACTGAATTGTCAGAGAATTCCTTCGAGCAGGAACTAGTTGATGCGGTTATTACATGTGCCATAGTGCAACATGTGGAAGAAGCGACTAGGTACGACCCGGACTCTGAATCATCCTTACTAGATCTTATGTCAACCCACTATGAGGATGGCGTTCCGAACCTCCATTGAAGCCACTCCTATGTAAAAGTACTCATGCAGTTCTAGTCTTTGACTTCCATACAGTTGTCAAAAGCGAGCACGTGTCAGCTCGATCCAAACCTAACGTTAAGAAAGCAAATATACAAGATATCATACACTTCTCAATAGATTGGATAATAGACCCAGAGTCACCAATTGAAACAACTAGGGATGTATTTCGAAATTTATACTTCAAATTTAATGGACCCCATATCCCTTTTACTCCACCAAGGGAGCCTATAAACTCTCTGCCATGGTTCAGTAAGGAAGTTCGCACTCTTCTCCGTAAGAGGAGGAAACGTGTCATAGGTTTAGGTTAATGGGGCTGATGAGACAAAATCTCAATTTCGATAAGCTCGGAATACCTGTGCCTTGACCCTTCGTAAGTCTAGAAGGTTGTACGAAGAGAAGATTGTCAGGGAGTCCATAGAATGTCCTAAACGCTTGTTTTCATATATAAACCAAAGGACAAAAAAGGAAATATTCTAGCATTATAAGGAGACAATACTGCTTCATCATTAGTGGAAGACGACTTTGGTAAAGCTCAACTATACTTTAGCAATGTATCCGCCATAGTCCATACAAACACCATACACACACTGGACAACGTGACCATTAAAGCACTCGATGTCTTTGGTGTGCTAAATAAGCTTGGCATAGGCAAATCCACGGGAACCGATGAACTGCATCCCGGGTTACTATAGGAATTAACTAACTTCGTTGCGAACCCTTTGAGTATATGCTTCAATCAATCCGTAGCCAACGGTCGTTTACCAAAAGACTAGAAGAACGCCATAGTAAGCCCTATCTTCGGAACAGGTACGAAACATAAACCTGAGAATTATCTGCCCGTTAGCCTAAATAGTGTGGTTTTTAAAATCTTAGGAAGGATTATTCAAACGAAGGTATTTAAGTGCCTCGGTGGAAACCGGATCCTTTTGGAGAAGCAGCATATTTTTAGAATAGGTTATTCTCTTATCATTAACTTATTAGTAGCTCGTGAAAGCTGGTGAGCTTTTAATAACCAAAGGTTACCTAGAGACGTAGCCTACATTGACTTCAGCAGAGCTTTGGACAAAAGTCCTCACAACCAACAGTTATGTAATATAAGAAATGTCGGGATTGGAGGCAATCTACTGATGTGGATAAAAGACTTCTTAGTTGGATGCCAACAAAAAGCACGGGTGAACTCCGAATGGTCTAGCTGGGAAACTGTGCTTAGTGGAGTGCCTCAAGGCACAGTTTTGGGGCCAGTGTTATTCCTCTCATATGTAAATGACCTTTCTCGTCTCTCATCATCATCGAATTTTTGCTATATGCTGACAATATCAAGATATGGAGAGCGATAAGAAGTAGTGGTGATAAGTTAGAACCAAAAAAATGATCTGGAAAAATCATCTGACTGGTCTCAAACATGGCAGTTGCCGATAAATACTTCCAAGTGTACTGTGATGTATATTGGTCAAGGTACAGATGCATAAATGATAAGAAGTATTGAGCTACCTGTTGTCCAGACACATAATGGCTTGGGAGTTATCGTTAGTCAGGACTAAAAGACTGCTGCACACTGCCGTGCGAAAACCGCCAAGGTTTTTAGAAACCTATGGTTAATACGTAGGACCTCTAGTCATGTTGACGTCGAAATTTTTTGACTTTTTCTATAGCGTTTGTGAGTCATAAACTTGAATAGCGAATACAAGGGGATAGCCCTCGCTTAAAAATTGACAGTGGGCTTATGGAAAAAGTTCCGAGAACAGCAGCTAAGCTGATTCCCGGAATAGCGAAGCTCCGGTATGCTGCTCAACAGGCTAAGCTAAATCTATTCCTGTTAACGTATCGAAGGACTAGAGGCTACTTGAATACAGTTTTCAAATTAATTAGTGATAAATTTGCACCTGATATGCCCTCATCTTTCTTGTCTTCTAAAACAGAATTTACGAGGGCACTCCAAAAAAGTTCACAGACTCAGAAAAAATTACTTGTCACCTGACTATCGACTTTCCTACTAAATCATCAACAAGTGGAATTCATTACCTCAGCACGTGGTTGGGGCTCCATCCATCAACGATTTTAAAAGAAAGTTGGATCGAGACAGAGTCCATCATTTCCAGGACAAACTCAGGCCATCAAACCCCCTGACCTTTCCGAACTGAAACTGAAGCTGTAAGTGCACTTTATGAAAAGGACGTTACTTTGCAGGTTTGGTTTTCCAACATCGTGGTTAGTATGGTATAACAGTTGTATAGTAAACAGTTTTAACATTAAAAGGACATTCACTAAGTTAGATATTACCACGTTCACCACAGTATACACATCTTTAGTGAGAACTAAGCTAGAGAACTGCCCTCAGGCTGCAAGCCCATTTTTAAAAGGTGACTTGGACATACTAGAAAAAGTACAGAGGGCAGCTTCATGTGCAATTCCGAAACTCTAAGGTTTATCACACAAAGAGCGGCTTGAAAAATTGGACCTCTTTACTCTGTCCTATCGCAGACTAAGGGGAGATATAATTTTGATGTACAGAATACTGAGAAATGATTTCGGACCTAACTTATTCTTTCTTTCTTCTCACTAGATCGGGACACCTTAGAGGACATAGCAGGCGAGTAGAAAAGCCAATAAAGAACAAAATACCGGTGGCATACAGGTTTTCACACCATACCACTGCCTGAAGCAGTGGTATCCGCACCTTCAATTGACTCTTTCAAGACAAGAATGGACACTTACAGAAGCATACTAGAAAAGGAGTAACATAGGCCGTAGGCCTTTTGTCCTTACTACACAAATCTGAATCTGAATCTTTTAATCATAAGGTTACTACGACAACTGGCGCTTGCACGTGTTTAAAAATGAGCAATAAGAGTAGGGTTGTGCATAAAAAGCAGCTTGCCATTAAGAAGGTTATTATCCACAATTCCCATGATGTTTCAGATAAAAGAAGAGAAAGAAAAACAATTCTTCTTAACTGATGATAATGGAAACATCATACCTGGAACATACAGAACACCGGTCGGAGGTTTGAAGCTTATTATTTTATAGCACATCTGTTTCCAGAAGTTAAAATTAAAAAAATTGAAGCATCAGGAAATTACGACATCTTGTCACTCGCGCGCTCAGTGAACGACAATTTTGCATCGAGAACCAAAGAGTTATTTACCCCAGAGGTGGAAGCTGTTAAAGAAGCTATCAAGACAGGTCTTTATATACACACATATATCGTCAAACGTTTTTAATATCCGATGAAGCTGCTTTAATTTCCGGCTCAACCCAACTTTGATATAATCCACTGAATAGTATCATAGTAAAATACAACATATTTTTTAGCGAGATGAGAAGGCTCGTTGGCATTTTCAAAAATTTCTATTGGTTAATATATTCAGCCCTTAACTTTTTTTGAAGGCCACACGTCAGGGATTCGATGTTTAATGTTCTTTTAAATAGTGTCACTAGCCTATGATGTTTATCAAGAAAATTAATTTTGGATTTTAAATATCTCAATCGGAGTTGGTTAATTTTACCAAGAATATATTTCAGTCGATCACTTCTAAACGGAAAAATTAATGGGGATATTGGTTCCAAAATTATCATTCAAAACATCGAGTGCATATGTAAAGCATCCACTCGATCAGAAATAAGATGGTTGGATACTATGGGATAACCTTAACTTTTCTAAGGAAACAAGAATATCCTTTTATCATCGCAGTTTTAACGCTTTCACATATTGCAGTATGTCTGTCCAATACTAAATTAGGCTTTATTTATTTAAGACGCAGCCAAGATTGAATCCTCACTGACACCACAGAAATCATTAAAAAGAGATTGAAATATTTCAGGAGCTACTGACCTGTAGTGAGTTGCAGTTTTAAGTTCATGACCTATAATAACTTGAAATCGATAAGTTTTGAGGGAGTCAGTTCAGAACTTTTCTAGGCGACTGACTACCATATTAGCATGTGACTACCAACCCCAATGATATATTATGTGATTGTAAAACTAAAAAGTACATAAATGAAATGCTTAACCATATGAAGTAGAGTGAAGTATGATGGAGGTTTATAATATTATTAACATACTTGAAGTCTATACTAAAATCACATATCACAGGTAGATGGCGCTATTTCACATGATTTGAATAGGCTAATATGATCAGTAAATATTGTTACGCGTATAACCTAAAACCACTGGTTCTGAAATTTTTTATTAAAGAATGTCTTCAATCTCTGAATAATGTTTTTTTAAAGAACCGCTCTTGAAACTTCTGGTATAATATTTCTTTGACATCAGTGGTTTTGCTAACTGTTCTCAATAGTCAAGCAGTATCATATATTTCAACAGGTTATATATATATGCTTGTATATAAATGTATTACTTGTCTTTCACCTGTATCAGTGTAATATGAGTGGTTATGTTTGAGCTAGACAACTTGATATTGAAATATTTACTAGGGGGGAATTCTGTTTCATTTCATGGACAGTATAAATTTTGAGATAAACATTAATAGTATGCATCAATTACAGTAAAACCTGTTGTACCAAAACGATGAGCTTATTAGCTTGTTAAATCATAGAGCAGATTTGAGTTATATAGTTTAGTTAACATCAAAGACCAAACAGCGAGTGACACCAATTATTCTATGGCGACTAAATATTGGTTTCACGTGTGTATACGCTTAAAGTTTAGCATTTTAATCCATCTAATATGTAAAACAATCAATCTAGCTAACGTTTGAGTAACTATCTTTTGCAGATTACATACGTTTCCTTTTAAAATTCAACAAACTTTAAGGTGTATATGTTGCATGGAGACCAATAGATAAACCTTGGAACCAACAAGATTGTCAACGTGTATGTTCCACTTCTCGTTGTTTTTGTGGACACTCTTTAAATCAGCATGAAGCGTTTTCTTTGAATAAAGGATTCCCAAAGTGTAATCAGGTTGGTGTTCATTGTTTTGATTAATTATTTTTAGATTTTTTTTGTGCATGAATAACGCTCTGTAAGACTCTTTTTCACCTGTTACATAAGTTTTAAAGCACAATAATTGTTAAATAACCGATAAATCAGGTGAAAAACAAAGTTACACGATTGGTAGACATCTGAAGTTCAGTTAATAAATTTTACAGATTTATGTTTCTTACATAAATGAGTCAGAAGGACATACAGAACTAGGTGAAATTCAAGACGAAGAAAATGTAAATTGAGATAATGAGTGTATTTATATGTAAAATTGTGATTAATTTTAAGTCATATCTCTTTGTGTCCTAATAAGAAAGTAGAGCGCTGCACATTCTGATCGATTTTTACGTGTAAGACGGCATTAAGACCCAAATTTAACCGCTAAACTGGGTTGTTACACTCACTAATTATTTCCCAAAAGGGAACATCAATCAACGAGCCTCTCATTAACGTTCATGTATCTGACAAAATATAACTCTCTCTGAGGTAGAAATGTGCAATATGAAATAAAAATTACCTAGAAAGTAATTGATATTATGGCAGTTTGTACCTAACTATATCAAAAAATCACCAGATATCAAGTATTAACTCAGATCGTTTTGTATTAAATTGAATTGCTGTCAGTTATAATATCTACAAGATTAGTCACTGCATTTAAAATATTAGAAATATCGACCACAGGGAATGTACTTGATGAGATCCGAATGTTGAAAATATGAGCTAAAACGGATATATCTATTGATTTCTAAATGTTTTATCAGTTATCTAACTTAGCGCGAAATTTTAAAGATTAAATTCGGTAACATTTTAGAAGATTATATATCAATATTTAACACCTAGCAAGTCAACTACATCATTTAGTAAACACAAATAACACAAAAAAGTTTCTTTATGATGACGAGTAGAAGTGTAGATCTGTGGACGTTTATTGAATTCCACCCATCTTTCAATATAAACAATGTTCTATATGTGCTAGGATTTGGCCACATTTATCTACTCTTCGTGATGTTTAATAATCTGACTATGAGCTGAACAATCAAAATCAGACTTGCGATTTATGGGCATTTGTTTTTCTCCCCTATTTTTAGTTGTTAATATTAATAAGCACTTCCATATCATGGTCTCTTACACTAGAACATTTATACATGGGTACCTCAATTTTATGTTTGCATTGATATCAATAGTCGGCCAAGGAATTTCGCTCTCGTCATCCGGTATGACGGTCAGATGCTGTCGTTAGTTTATTCTTCTGAATAAATATTATTATTCAATAAACATCATTGTTCTATGTAGTCTAAATTATCACAGGTCTACTTTAAGCAAGTCAACCGAATGATCTACAAAGTAAGAATTGATTGTGACACATTGATTTAAGTATTGGCATTTAAAGAGAGAAAGGATTATCCTTCCCATAACTTGGCTTGTTTATATTATTAATTTCACGTTCTTATTTTGTTCTAGACTGGGTGCTCATGCAAAGGGTTTAAATTTGTTCCCAGTAGACCAGAAGAAGTTGGTGAATTTTGGTTAACTAGACGCAATGATTTTGATGGTAATTCGTATCGTGTTAAATGCAAGTGTAAGCATACTCATGAAGAACATGTGGCTGATCTCGTTCCTTATCGATGTAAAGTTAAGAGATGCAGCTGTTCGGGATTTTCATCAGCTTTCCTTTGCGCTGCATGTGACAAGCACTGGCATGAGCATCAAACAGTTTTTGAAACTGAAATGGAACGCAAATCTGAAGGACGTCCAGTTGGTAAGTTTAGATAAGTGGTCAAGGTTACTAGATGTTATTTTATCATATGTTCATGGCCCTGACTACGTTGTAAGGGAGCTGTATTATGGATATACTAAACCTAACTAAATATTGATTCCTCCATTGGTAATCAAAAGTCCTAGCTCTTTTCTCAAGTGTTTGTTTATTAATAAAGAATGTGGTACTTTACCAATATACTTATGTCACCAAGTTCATCAGATAAACGATAGCTAGCTTATTTTATCTGAATCCGTGTACTCATTTTTAATGTGATGTAAATAAGCATAGAGTCGATAAATTATATACAAAATATTATAATATTATAAATAATAAGTAATGTTCCAGATGAAATGTTGAAATGTTTTTTTATATTTGACTGGTTATCTGTAACATTACTTTGGATAATGTAAAAGCATTATATTCTGCAGCCATTCGAGTTTACTACTGATTCATACACTTATACACAATCTCACCTAGCTATCTGAAATGAAAATAAGTCCACAACTCACTTATAAATTTATACATATCTCCCTCAGAAAATTATGTCAGGTTTCTAACCGGTAGCGTAAATATATTTCCTAAGTTAGTCTAAGTCGTGACAAACGGTATGCGTCCGTCAGCATCTCCTATTTATCATTTGACTTATGTCTGATTAGGTTGGTGTATCATCTGTAACCCCTGCAAAATAATTCTGGCTATTTGGATTAGGCCGTTTAAATCAAGGTGAGACTACAGGAAGTTATCTTTAGATCTATATTCCTACACAATTATTGATTTGACGTTGCATAGACTCAGATTGTTACTGCTTTTAGTTACGATCTATAAAGATAGTATTTAAGAATATAATTTGTTTAACCAAACAATTTATTATTGTTTGATTTGTAAAATGAAACTACCATCATATCGTTTACAATTTTGTGACCAAATAATATTCAGAATCCAATCCCAAACAAAGTTCGTTCATGATCTAAACATTTTGCTGATGACATTTTTGATTACGACGCTATTATATATTCTGCCACCTAGTATTCCTCGGACACAATCCTTCCATCGACTGGTTCCAACTTGGGGCACAAATTGGGACTGAACAAAAATTATATTCTGAAAATCCGAACACAAAAAAGCCATGTGGTAAAGACGTTAACTCAAGCGTAAAGTTTAAAGAGAAATATTCCACATTCTTCTCAATCCATCCACTAGCTCTAATTATTTAAAAATTAACCATTTAGAGTGTTTCTACTTGATTTTTTCTAAAGCACATATTAGTCAAGACCACCGTTTAGCTAACCGACACAAAGTAATATGGGTTTTTAGGTTTTAAAGGATGACTTTGCGCAAAGTTTTAGATGCACATTTTTTTTGATGAGCATCATCATAAAAGACAGTTAAGTTTTACAAATTTCTGATGATTAATTTCACATATTTAACAAAGTCTGCCATCGCTTTTGTTTCATCAGTGGCCTTTGAACGACCTGAAAACATAATAAAAAGCTCTACTAAGTGCATTGCATTGCATAAAATAAATATGTAAAGACGTCACCGTAATTATGTAAAATAACGATAAAGTTGCTTAATTAACCAGTTGAAATTTGGAAAAGAACCGTGCATAATTTCTTTTTCGCTTACTGTTAATGCTGATAATAAAATAGATTGCAAAATGATCACCTAGACCTGAATTATGTCCAAAAGGTTTTAAATTATGGTAATGCACTTTTTCTATGACTACTGGGTAAGTGTAGTGGTAGTAAATCAGGTAACAAAATAATACAGTGACCCTTTGTAGCACAGGATAATGCCAAAAAATTAACAATCCATAGTTGTCTTTTAATCAGTTTTGAATTAGTAAAGTGTTGACTATCAAAACGTCATAAATAAAAAGTAAAAAAACACATATAAGGTACTTTTAAGATTATCTCAACAATTTGTTATTGCTTTTTAGTATTTCAGACTTAAGTTTCATTGCTATTCCTGGATGAGTGGGGTAATGGGGTTTGTAGAACAGTTGAACATTCTCCTCTTGGAGAAGTCAGGATCTCAAATGTCTATGTATGGCCTGAAGTAAAGAGGATATATCTTTTCAGAAACATATCTATACAGTCATGAATTTATGGTTTGTATCATTAGGTTCTCTTCATTAACTTTACGCACCTGAATTATCTACTACAAAGAAAGCATTTTACAGGGGATGTAATGAACTTGATTCGGATTCATGAATACATAGAATTTAGGTAAGTATGGTATAGATCAAAATTAGTGTCATACAAAAAAAGATATATGAACCTATCTTTATCACTATCTACTATAAAAATGCATCTTTTGACATTTTCTCTTGCTTCCCATGTCGAAACTTTAGATTAGAGGTTCAAAGCTGATTCCAGAAGTACGGATGTATTCGTTTCTTTTTTTTTGTTGTTGATGAAATTTTGGGGCTGAGTTTAATTCTATACTACTTAATTCCCCTACTTTATCCCTTTATTTCGATTCATATTTTCTATGTTTTAGCAGTTTCAATCTCTGTTTTGATGTAGTTTAAGAAATTAGATTAGCAAATTTTTGCACCAGGTCCTAAGTTACTTATAGCTGATTGACCAATTGATTGATAAATTCAGGGTCTTACACTGGTCTCCCAAAAAATCAGTTCTGTTTCTAGAAAATTTCCTGTATATGTTTCAAGAATTTTTTTCAATGTTGGTAACTTTCAGACAATATGTATTTCTAAACTGTTGCTATAAATAATATGTAGTACGAAATTCTTCAACATGAATTTGCATGTCTCTCACACTTGACATTCCCACTGAAACTCGAATTCATGGAATGTAGTGTCAAACGCCTACGCGTTACCACATAAGCTGATATGTATCATAATATAGCCTTATAAGGACTTATAGCTAAAATTAATATTCAGGTATTTGTTCAGAATGCATATATTCAAACAGAGACCGATCAAATACAGTTCTAAATATTACTAACGCTTACAATGTACAAATACTTTAAATATATTTTCGGTTTCATGGAGACAATAGAGTCATTAAGTTTTATAATTTATTATACTTTTTTAATAGGTGAAGGATGGATTCCGTTTGCTGAATTACCAGAATTAGCTAAAATTGCACTGACTGGTGTAGATAATCCAAATATTCAAACATTAACTGATGCTTTGTCAGCAAGTTCTCGTCAAAGTCTTCTAGAAAAACAAACTTTACCTGCTATCTCTGAATTAAAAGATTAAAAAATTGGTAGCATTAATAATTGTGGCAATAATTTTAAAGTAAATGTTGTCTAAGTAAATTTTTCAATTTTTTATTGTTGACAGAAATCTATATTTATATACTACTTACTATCTTGATTTTCAGTAGCATTTGCAAATGAATATCTATACACATATCTTTTATTTATCATGTGGTTTTAATATCCATTACTTTTATTTCCTTTTCACTGTGTTGTTCTTATTATTCTTTCCTTAAAATCATTTGAATGGATTCACTTCTTTTATCATGATTATCTCGCCATTAATGTGATATACAATTTTTAAAGTATATTTTGCTGTTCAAGATAGACGGAAACAAATTGTTAAGTTATTTTTAAAGAACTTGATGAAGTGAAAAGTATCAACCATTGTAAAATCCTTGAATATAGAAACCTAAATGTTGTATGAGATCATGATTTAAAGCATATTAGAACAATAGCACCTATCTAACCCTTATTGCTTTTTTTTCTTTAATGGTTATTTAGTAAAAGTTAATTTTCTGACAGAAAACTAGTTTCAAAGAGTATTTTTTCTTGTGTGTGTGTGTAGCTTATTTCCATTTGTACTTTTTCATGTACTTTTCTTTGCAAAGATTCACTTTATATTTTTATGGTTCTTAAGTGGACTATTTCTTTCTTGAACTTTGTTCAAGCTGTGATTATTTATTTATTTCTTTCTCTCCAGAATAAAAGATGATATAACTATTTATTTTTTGTTGTTGGAATCATGAGTCAATTGAAGCTAGACCACCATGGAAAACCTGGAAGCACTGGGTGGCCGTTTCGTCCTGATATCGGACTCCTCGGCAATGCGCATCCACGATCTTGCACCACACGAGATTCGAACTCAGGACCTATCAGTCTCGCACCAGGTGCTTAACCAACTAGACCTCTGAGCCGGCATCCAGTGGTGTTAATATCTAGCCTCAACCAATCCACGAAATTGCGCGACCATCTTCCATTGTACTGAGGTTGACTCCTGTTTCTACCCGACACGGATTAGCTCCACTGGTCACGGCTTCTCAGAACACTCAATTTAACTACCGTAAAAATAAGATGAACTTAATGTTTTTATTATTGTCACGGACACATGAAAAATACTCCAAGTAACTTTAATATTCTGATCGTCATAGTTTCACTTTGTTTCAGATTACTATTGTTAACAAACAACAATAATTATGATTTATCAGTCCTCTATGTAACTTAGTAGTGAACAACGATCCAAGTGGGGACAACTGAATGTATTTCATATGGACATTTCAATAAAATCTGAGAACCATATAGTAAATAGTTAATTTGCAAAATATCAATCCATAGTTTCAAATTTGACTGTTCCTTTTGCAAACATCAGTCCATTGTCTCAGATTTCATTGTTCATGCATTTTCATACCAATTACTTTCCGTTCTCAATCTTTCCTTCTTGATATTCTAGTGAAATACATTCTATACCTGACCATCGCTATATACTACTTATATGAATATAAGTAACTCACACCACAACTTGACTTTAAGTTATTAAATTTTATACTTTTTTTCAGCTTATTAATTATTCTTGTAATTTTTTGTACACTTATTGATGTTCTTATCTTTGTTTTCATTTGAACCATCAAAATATGTACTAAGTTGAAAAAATAAATGAAGTTTTCTCCAATATTTAACTTTATTTCGCTTATAATTCGTGTCAGAGATGATTTATCCATCTATATTGATGCAGATATATTGCTCAATCGTGTTTAATCTTATCAGAAATGATGTGATCAGTTCATTTTTTTAAAAATGATATGGAAAAATCAAGATAGAAAGTAAACTAAACATGTTTGTAAGGGTTTGATATATTTCCATTGTTGATGTTCAAGAATTTAATCACCCAGTCTTTATTGGCATTTGTTCATCTTGTGCTGATTAATTCAATGTGAACATCAACACTGGGATATAATGGGCATACATAGTTGACGAGTTCCAAATAAAATGAAACCCAAGTCTAGGTTTCTACTGTCAGTCATTATCCAACTTCAACAAAACAAGTGTGATTATTTTTACTTGGTTGTTAAATTTATTTGACAATATCTTGGCTAATTTAAGTGAAACTTTGATAACTTTAGAGTATAGGAATAGCAAATAAATATTTATTCAGCATAAATCCAAAATAACGATGTTCTAAATGGTCATAAAATACTTTCTGCATATCACATATCCGATATTATGAATATAAATATAATCCGACCAGGAACTTTGTGGGATCCAAGATAACCTAAAGATTATAATAAAAGCTGACGATTAACCAAGCCAAGAAGGTGATTTAATGAAATCCGCTTGTGTAGGAATCACCGTTACTAGTTAAAGGAATTTACGAACAAGGTTTCCATTACAAATCTACTAAAAAGATCATTTATGACTTTACATATAAAAACTAGACTCTATACTACTGAATTAACATCAACATGTGGAAATTCTGCTGAAAAGAGACCTGGATATTTTATCGTAATCAAATCAAAACGACCTAAATAATAGAATGTTGTTTTATAAGTGAGTTAATCAATGGTAATTGTTCACTTTAAACAAATAAAAAAGGAAGTGAATAACTGACATCAATATATATCAATAAATTCGCTTCAAAAACAACTTATTTGTTAACTTTTTATGACGGAGTCATTGAAGAGCTTTGATATGACAGCTTCGTAGACTAAAATTTAGACGTAATTGTACATAACTTTAGTTGTCTTTTAGACAACTGTGAGATAACGATGGAGATTCATAGTTTAGAAGGAGGATTTAAAGATATTTTGTTCTCTGAGCTAAATAATTTAAATGTAGAAATTTCCTACTCTTTCTAGAAAACATTATCGACACAAACTTAAAATAAGGAAGATTAGTATATAATTTTCGATATGCGGTTTTGGAGATTATTGAATTTCGCTGAAATCACTGACCTTTGTTAAACTGCAGTAAATACGAAGACAAATGGGGACAATCGAATGTATTTAATAAATCATTACAGGACTTGTTAATAAAATCTAACAATCATATAGTAAATGCTTAATTTGCAAAATGTTCATCAATTGTCTCAAAATGACTCAGACTTCACTATTCTTGCATTTTCATAGAAATTGCTTTTTTTTCATTCTTTACTGTTCTATCCTCTTGTCTCTCTGCTGCCAGACATTTTGTTCACGACTAACGTCATATACTACTTATGTCAATATAAGTAGCACACACACCACAAAACCACCATTGAGAACCTAGAAAAAGTGGACGTCCGTTTCGTCTTAGTGTGGAGCTCCTAAGAAGTGCCCATCCAAAGTGCGCGGTCGCGGACATCAGCCAGAAATAAAACGGAATCTTCTCTAGAAAAATTACTCAGCCCAGTAAATACAACACCTATTATTCAGGAGAAATTTCAATATACTAAAATGATGCCAGCTATAAATTAGACAATTTTTTTTCTGGAATTGACAGTTGTTATTCACAGTTTTTATGCACATATATCAATTTTAAGTACAGACAAAGAGGAAAATGATAAGTTTAGCTTGAACAAAGGTATCCTGAAAAAAATATTAAATGAAAATGGGAGCTAGCTTTAAGTTAACCAATTAAATGCGGGTCAAATAATTTGCCAAAACATATTAGTTACTTATAAGTAGTATGAAATATCAGGTATATATTGTGTGAGCTTTATTTCATCCTGTTCAAGCAAATATTTTTGTCATTTACAATAATAATGCGAAAAAGAAATGCTGAATTACAATAATTATTTCTCGATTGTTTTATATAGCCGGTTGGATACATGTTGTCTAACGATCTACATCGTTATGGTATATACATTATCTGTGTTTTTGTATTAATCTTAACTTACAAGAATATTAATAGCAGATACATTCTGATAATAATCATCTGCTCACTAGTGACTTACTTCAAAAGAAACTCCTGGAGTTCTGGTGAGGAGCCGTTACCAGTGAAGTTCAACCACGTCTGTTGTGAGATATCAATTCAGTGAAGACAATGGTGTACGGTGGCGCAACATCGTGGATTGGTTGAAGTTAGATATTAACACCACTGGATGCCGGCTCAGTGGTCTGGTTGGCTAAGTGCCTGGTGCGAGACTGATAAGTCCTGGGTTCGAATCTCGCAGGGTCCTGGATGTTGGGTGGGCATTGCCAAGGAGTCCCATACCAGGATGAAACGGCCGTCCAGTGCTTCCAGGTTTTCCATAGTGGTTTAGCTTCAATTGACCCATGATTTCAATCTGTGAAATACATTTTTTGTTGTGTCCCAATGAGTAGAAAAATTACATTGCTGACGCTTCACGAGTTAATATAAGCCACTTCTTCAAATGAAATAAATAACCGAATTAAATTAACACATGTTTAATTAGTACTATTTTCTATTGTGTAATATTCAAATGTGTGTTAATTTAGTTCGGTTATTTATTGACTCTGAAGAAGTGGTTTACACTAAGTTACGAAATATCAGCAATGCAACTTTTTTACTCATTGGCATGTAACGAAAAGTTATATTTACTATTAACTTTCTATTCAATACTCAATTTATTTGAAACTATCAAGTTCAACCTTGACATTGATACCTATAAACTCATTTACAAAAAATATTGTTCACAGCCACTATTGAAATAAAGTTTTTATTTGACTACCTATAATGTTGTTGGAAGTAGTCGACAACTGTTCGGAAATCCCTTTAGAAGCCAGAAGATTAACAAGAACTAATTTTTCCCATCACTGTTTCTGAATATTTCTTGTTGATCCGGTGCATCAGTTACTACTAAATTAGTATTTTTTCCAAGGTCACTGAAGTTGTAATTAAACTAACCTCAGAATTAAAGCTTCCTTCACATATCCACTATCTGATTTCGTTTAAGATTCTAACGTTTAGGACTCAACCCCGTGTCACCCACCTTCACAAACTGACACGTCGCCATTGAGCCGCATGAGTCACGATTGACCTAAAGGACTGAGATGCATTTAAAGTCTCTTGATCGCTAGTTACTGATCAATGTGTCTCAGTTTGAAGCTGAGTGACATGGGATTGAATCCGTGAGATAGCATCAGATCCCTCATGATTACAGGTACACGTTTCACAAACAACCGGTCATTTTCAAGATTTTACTATAACCTATCACACAATAAATAAACTAACTAACTGAATATAATAAAACCATTAAGTTTGTTCTAATCGATTCATTAATTTGTTCACTTCAATACAGAAGAAATTGTCAAAAATAATGTTATAATTTCATAATTCACAAAAAATTGTTTTATTCATTTTCATAGTGATTACATGAACAATAATTTTTATTAGTTGAGGTCATGAGTTAATTGAAGCTCGACCACCATGAAAAACCTGGAAACACTGGACAACCGTCCAGTGGTTAAACACTCGTGCGCGAAACTGATAGATCCTAGGTTCAAATCTAGCGAGGCGCAATCGTAGATGCACACCGCTGAGGAGTCCCACAATAGGATAAAATGGCCGTCAAATACTTCCAGGTTTTCTTTGGTGCTTTAGCTTCAATTGACTTATGATCTCATCTATTAAAAATTACTATATAATATCCACAACAATCCCTTCTGTCACTAATAATTTTTATATTTACAGATTGTTAATGTACAAACTCTTCACATAGAACTTGCTGTCCTTCATATTTACATCATCTGATGAATTATTTTCATTTGATTTAAATGATAAAAAAAACAACAAAAAAAAACAACGAAAAAACACATCACCTGTTACCATGGCAAATGAGAAGGGACTGAATGTAATCTTGATAAAATTTAATCTATTATTAAGTTCACTTTGTTTTATCTTATTTCTTTTCACGGTGTTATGTAATCAAATTTGACAAGAATAAATTTGATCTAATACATTTAATGTCATTTATCAAGTACAAATTTACATGGATAATGAATGTTATTGGCATTAGTTCCTTGTCATTAGGTAACGATTAAATATTGAAGTGTTTATGTAAACTTTTTATCATTGAAAGGTACATTTTTTTTGGAAAATGCTTTATAGTCAAATGGTAGTTTCATATAATTCTTATAATCTTGATGAATTGAAAAGTACTTTATACAAACCTATTACAAACCAGGGGTTATCATTTCTGTTCATTAAATCAAATATCAAATACTTTAAGATCTTATCATTATTTATTGCTAAATACAGTATAGTCATTATAAGTGAATCATAATGTTTCAGGATTTGAAGTGTCAACTGTTAGTATTTGTTACGTTCTTGATAAGTCTACTCACTTTTGGTGCTGTGGCTAACTTGTCTAATCTAGATTAAGACCTTGACACGATGGGCTAACTGGTTTAACTTTGAGGCTTGTATGCCAGAGTTCGAATTGAAACCAACTGTTTAGGTTAGAGAGACGAAAACTATTCTATCACCTGATTGACTGACAAGGACACGAGTAAGAGAAGACAAGTCAACTGGAACACTACACGATTTATTCCCACTTCCGATCTGGTTCCCTATTTCAGATCAGTGTAAAAAGATAAATGAATAAATAGATGACTAACCC